TTTATAAATAGTATTTAATTTACGCGACACGCTCCACTGAAGACTTGACGATCTTACGATCTTACCAGCTTCTTTATTATACTGAGGATTGAGGTCTAATTAGCTCCAAACAGAAACTAATTACAGAAAATATGATACGCTGTTTTTCTACCGGTACAGAAATACCATATAGCACTTGATTTAGTATTTCCTAACACGCATACGCGGGGCTTTGAACTGCAAATCGAAGCTACGTCCAGCTTACAGTAGCTTGTTAGATATGGAACAACGGTTTTTAGAGTATTAATTGATAAAATAACAATTAATTTGTACCAGTTACAGTTATTAAGTATCGATTACTTTATTTTACAGGCAGAAAAAAAAATACAAAACACGGTATATTTAGGGTTCCATATAAGTGTTCCAAAAACGGCACATGATCAGTCTCGTGTCTGTCATTTCGTCAATTTGTATTGATGTACATAAACTTACTATGCTTATTTAGGTACTTGCTGTCTGTCTACTTGATCATAAAATAAAATAAAAAAGCCTGAAAATAATAAATAAATAAATCAAGGTTTATTTATTTATTATTTAGGTTAGGTTGTAAACTGTACTGCTTACAACGTAAGTAGTATTTCTTTCAAATAAAATCCAACTCGGAATCCTCCCCGCCTCATATGCATCGAAAGAAAGTTAACAAATTGTCTTTAAAATGTATTGTCACAAACTACAAGAAATATTGTCACAAACTACAAGAAATATTGTCACAAAAACCAACAAGCAACGTCGTGAATGCTTAGCCGAGGTATTCGAATTACGAAAGAAATTAGCGATTAATCGGAGCGAACACATCGAGATTGCATCAATATTTATAAAGATGTCGGCCGACAAGCAACCGGCGCGCGCGCACACCGCCGCTGCACCTCGGGACTGCAGCGCGGAAATCGCACCGTTGCAAAAATAAATCGATTGTGAAGTGATTTTAATAAGTGATAATCGATTTGTGTTAAAATATAAAGTGTATATTAAAGTTTGCAATGGAAAATATATACGGTGTCATTCGGACGTTGAGTAGGAAGACTTTGAAGCGGAAACAAAAGGTATGAAATGCACTTTTAAAGTAATTTTACAGATGTAAAATATATCTTTTTATGTTATTTATTATTGTTATACTTATTATGAAAATGTTGTTACCTAACAAAGACGCCATAAAAGTTTGCGCAAAGGTACCCATTAAATTGCATTTTGTGTTACAACATATTATGACCGACTTGTTCCATGATAATCTGATACTTAATCAGAAAAAAATACACCTTTATCTTTCATTTTAAATGGCAAGTTAAACTGGAGTTTTTAGTTGATTATTTCAAGGAACTAAGCTCTACAATTCCACATTAATAAGCTCTATGCTAAGATAAGATTTCAGTTTTAGGTTGTAAACTTCATAGCTAGTTAGTCTAACGCAATAAATTCGTTCGCAAAGACTTTATATATCGCATTTTATATTAATAATGTATTTTATTGCAAATCCCCGGCCGTTTCGTCACATTCGAGAGGATGCCGAGTTTGGAAATCGATAAGTGTGTATAACAATCGCATAATCGAATCAACAATTGATCAGTTAACACTTCTTTGCTTAGTTGGATTAAAAAGTGTCTGTGAAAACTCTTTGAAGAGTTTCACTATAATGGTGATAAAAAAGTTTTTCTTTAGTGTACAATATCTGTGAAAACGTTCGAGCAATTAACAAATATGTACTAGTTCTTGTCAGTTTTTAACTCCCCAGGGAAACAATTGATTTTTATAATGTTTGTACACGCATTGTGTGTGTCAGTGACTGGTATAGTACTAATAAATCATTTTCCCTGCCACTAAAGAAACGTTTGTTAAACTGAAAACAAGATTATTATAATAATTTAAGTTTTTGCTGGCTGTCACTGTAATTTATTTATCTATGCACACACATTTCTAGTGGATTAAACTGAAATTATCAAAAATACAAAACATCGAAAAACACAATTTAGGCGGTTTTTATGGCTAGGTCTTTGCCAAATATTTTTAGGGTTCCGTACCTCAAAAGGAAAAAAACGGAACCCTTATAGGATCACTTTGTTATCCGTCTGTCCGTCCGTCTGTCAAGACCCTTTATCTCAAGAACGCGTGAACGTATCAAGCTGAAATTCACATGAAATACTCAGGTCTATTGTCCCTTTAAGCTGTGAAAATATCAAACTTCTATGCCAAGCCAATCAAAAGATACAGCAGATTATGTCGATATTTTCAACAAATTTTCGACACTCTCAAAGGAATCAAAACCTACAGGATACTTCCCGTAAACTCAGAATCTTGAAATTTGGAAGATAAAATATTTTATTAATAATTATAAACTTACTACTTACCCTTTTTCACATGAACGCGTAGAGATATTATAGTTGAAATTCATATCAAACACTTCTTAAATCTAATTGCCTCTAAACTGTGAGAAATTCTAAATCAACGCAAAAATTCAAAACAATGAGATAGGTACCTACCTATAATGCAAATATAGGAAAAATAAATAAATAAAAAATAATCATACCGCATATTTTGGAATTCGCCACTACTCGCAACCAAGTAAGTACCTAATTTGATTTAATACGTCATAAATTGTAAACCGTTACGTTTGTACGCGGCGGAACCCTCGGTGTGCGAGCCCGACTCGCACTTGGCCGGTTTTTTTTTGTTTTTACACATAAATTAAACATACATAAAGTTTGATGAACTTTAAATATGTGACAAACCAAAACCTACTCAAGCGAAACCGCGGGAAAGGCTAATATAACAACCGACCCAACTCTACCTAGTTTCTTGTTAAAAACAATTTCCACTTTCATATTAATTATTGACTGTAAATTAGATACGAGTTGCTACTATTTATAATTAATGACACGAATACTTATTTGATGATAAACAACTGAGCGATACGCTACTACACTTACACTATGTTATGTCAAAAAGATAGATAATTGAATAATAGCAATTCATGTATTTAATTAATTAATACAAAAAATTTGCATTAACAAGCCGCCTCTTCGCCTTCTTCATTCGCTATTTAACAAAACTAACGTGTCAGCTATTAATTAAAGTAGAATTTAACACACAGGACTATAAGTAAATACTGAAAGTTATTAAATGAAATTATGTAATTTCATATTTATTTTTGTTATGCAACCAATTTTAATAAATACAGTAGAATCCTATTATAACGACGCTCAAGGGAGGGACCGATGTTATTACGTCGTACTAAAGAAGTATTTTTTTTCGTTATTTCTCAACAAATCAAACAAATCAAAAATATGCGTCACTAAAAGCAGTCGGACGGACGTTATTAGCGACGTCGTACTAAACGGATTCTACTGTACCTACATTATGTACTTCAATCAATTTAACTCGCTTTTTTAAAGCTATATTCCGTATCTCTTAATTTTCATTTTTAGGGTTCCGTAGCCAAAATGGCAAAAACGGAACCCTTATAGTTTCGTCATGTCCGTCTGTCCGTCTGTCCGTCTGTCCGTCTGTCCGTCTGTCNACATATATAAAATTAATATTCATACATAAAAGTACAAGGCAAAATATCGGGAGAGTTTAGGCTCCATTCACCAGGTGTATAAATTGACATAATAAGTTTATTATATTTGCTGCTACGGAACCCTTTGTGCGCGAGCCCGACTCGCACTTGGCCGGTTTTTACACTGTTATAATAAAACTAATAAGAAAATTATTCTGATATTATAATTGTATTATTTTACGTTTTTGATTGTTTATTTAGACTTACATGCGTGCAATCTTTAGGTGATAAGGAAATATGGTGTAAATAGGCAATCACTAATCAGTCAATTTGAACTGAATTCGAAACCTACCCAACAAATTGAATTTCATTAATGGGAATCAGTAGCAATCAATTAATCTATTAATTACTACTCTCTCTTCTTTAGGCAGAGTGCGTACAAGTACTTTACTAATCGGTATATTGGAGTAATTAGCGAAATAATTTTCCATAATTCAATTTATTGCGGACATTTTCCGGTAACTCGTGTTTGAAGCGAGATATCTTATCGGCGATCGCGATGAAACTTATCCGCGATTCTGGCTAGGGTTGCTGCTCTTCATTTTTAATTTATTTAAGTAGGATTATGTTGAATATAACGCACTAGAGTGCGTTCTTGATTAAAGCTAATGATATTGAAAAAACAAATGCATCAAGAAACTTGTTCGTTTCATAATTTGTGTTTTGTAATATTTAGTAATTAAGTAATATTATTAACTGTACAGGGGTAAAACAAATTTAACACGGTGGTAAAATCTATTTTTAACACGGTGATACAGTGTTCAGCTTGTTCATATGTCGTCGTCCGTATTAGTAGAGGCGATCGCAATTTTTGTTGAAATTATATTATAGCTTATGTTTCGTATGTATTTACTCTGCTTCATTCAGCTCTACCTGCGACTAGTGGGTACTCAGCATTACGAGTCCTAGTACTTTTCAACATTGCCCTTTGCTACTAAGCCTCACACGTCATAGTGGCACCCCTGATGAAACGTCTCAATGAAACGCCGCGAGTGTCGGACTCGATTAAGGTTCACGCTTTCCTGCGCCCGCGCACCGCTGACTAATTGCCGAATCGAAGAGAGCCGTAATCGTCAGCAGTTATTTAAATAATCGCAGTATTCAACGTATTAGTACAGAAGAAGGCATTTTGAGTTGTTGTGTGTTCTCTTCTTAGTCGATGAGCCGTCGCTAAATATCGAAATCCTTGCTGTGACCACCTCATGATCATCAAACTTGATATTTAACGACCAGTATTTAACCCTGCATATTTACTACTTTATTGCAATTGCGTGTAGGTGACGTTACTTCCCTGCTTTAAGATAGACAAAGATCAGTAGTTATATCCTTATAGACACCTATTTATTCTAAGTTCTTCTCATGCTGTGTTATAAACAGGTACTTATGTATAATGAATTATCCCTTGTTCCAGATTCAACCAAAACCGACGACAAATGGTGTTGCAAAGGAAAGAATACCCGAACGCGAAAGCAGAGAATCGCGCGAATCGCGAGAGACGCGCGACTCACGGGAAACGCGCGACTCACGAGAAATACGCGAGAGCAGGGAATCGCGCGATTCCCGCGACGAGTCAGAAATTATCGAGAGGCGGCAAGCCTCATCGCCGATACCCCGCGAGAGAGACAGAGACCGGGAGAGGGAACGGGATAGAGATAGGGAAAGAGAGATAAGAGAAGAGAGGAGAGACCAGTCGACACCACAGCATGATGGCAGACATCCCTTGTTGCAGTTTGCCGTCGACCATTTCCGACAGAGTCCAGAGTGAGTACAATTTTTGTTTTATCTCATTTTCCCCAGATTGTAACAGAAATATTTTAAACGATTAACTATTTTTCTGTGTTCCTGTTAGTGCATTGTTCTATGTTATGAAAATATATTTTCAAAACACAAATGATAGACCTTTGTCAGTCTTGGAGAACAGATGTACATCAACAGCAGCAACAGATAGCAACTCTACAAAACGTCTTTGTAGGGTAACAAATTAACTGAAGTCTCTATACACCCCGGAGTCTTACAGACCGATGTAGAAACTAAATATCTACGGTAGCGTGTAGGATCGCGCTCTCTACGCGACATCGTGCACGCCATCTTCATAAAAACGCTTCTTGTTAAACGCTATTAATTTAATCTATGCATTTATACTTCATTGCACAAAAATACGAATCGAAGACCCAATTATTATGCATCATCTTTCACTGAATCTCATTTGATTCGGAAGCGAAACTGGTTTTTCATACATTAAAGTGACTTATTATTCCAAAAGGTTGCCCTACCTACACATCGTACCGGCTATGGTAATATACTATTGATACATAATACATCTTCCTCGCTTATAAATCAAATTAATTGCATGACCATCATATAGGTACCTGTAACGCAACACAAACCAAATAACGGTCACTATTCTAATACGGTGCACAGGGTTGCTACAATTTAAAAAGTATAGCCTAGGTACCGATATGTAGGTCATCATAGAATAAATAAAACACTACTCTACTTGCTCTAATCCCAAGTTCAACAGGAGAAAAATAAATTTCTCCGAACTTGTTCAAGAGCTGGTGCTTGAATTTGTTGATAACTTCATGCATATTACATATTCTATTCGTGTGTAAATAAATACGTAACATCCAGAAAAAGACGATTTATAGAAATCCATAGCATAGGAACATAAAAAATAGTTTTATTTATAATTAAGATACTAAAAACCAGATTGGCGTACAAAGATCCTAGAGATAAAATGATTCGTCATCTAAATCTTGCACAGTTTAATTCATCAAATTGTAGGTATAAGCTGACGTAATCCATTACCTTCTTTTATGCAGACGGGTTAATCCATCAAATAGTATATGGTTATCTCCATAACCTTCTTCTTTTATGCAAGTGGATTAAAGCAGCAAGCATCAACCCTAGGTCCTGTTTAATTCACCGGGCAGCGCGGGCGCAGGCACGCGTGCCACCGTCACGCTCTTGGTGTTTTTGTAATAAGTTTTACATTACCTGAAAATGTGGCACGACAAACTGGACACAATACACTGTTAACGAGTCATTTGTGGAGGAATGCTATGATTTCATTAATTTGTAATGCCATCGTGGTCTAATGGTTGATGAGTTGTACTTTTTGATATATCCTTGGTCCTAGCTTCAATTTCCAGGCTTATTTTTTACCATGTTGAGCACACAAAGAAGCATTCTTGCACTGATTAGGATATCAATAAATAGTTAAAGTACCAGACCAGACGTAATCGAGTAGAGTAGGTTCCATCGCTAATAAAGTGGTGCTAGACGGGTGACATTTGACTTAACATAGCTGTCACCTGTCGTACATCTGCAGTCTTGTTGACGTTTCAACGTTTGACATAACAAAAACACACCCTCACGCGAGACTCCGCTACCGCAAGAACCTACTTAGTTATTACTCCTATAAAATTATAACCAGAATTAAAACAAAAAACAGAAAAGGCTAATAATGGACAGTATGACGATACATTACGTTTCACTTTCGATAATGACAGGTTGGAGTCTTAAAACTTACATACACGTCATTAAAGTGAATAACATTATAAATGCCATTGTCTTTTTAATTTGATGCGTAAAGATGCGCCTTTCGTTTTTATTGCTTGGTCATTGAATGAATCAGACTTTTGGGATTTACTTTTTGGCTCTTAATCTCTAGTAAGTGATAAATATACTCGTACTATGCGTTTACTGATTTATTCATTTACAGATTTCGAAACACAAATCCGCTCCTATGCCCATCTTACTTAAGCTTACAGCTTAGGGCATTATCCATTATTTAACAAAATCTTCATGTGCTTGAGACATAAAAAGATCGAATAAAAAGCTCTCTGTCTCACTTTATGATCTTTTGAAGTGATTGAAATATGTACCTAAGATAGTAAACAACGCATAATTTCTATATTATCTGCATCCAGCAATCACTGTTGTAATAAATAGCTGCTGTATGGCTTTTTAATTGCATCAAGTAGAATTTCCACACTTGCACAATGGTTTTGAAAAAAGCTCTACACGTAGGCATTTACATTCAATGTGGGTCCTGTGGGACTGAACTTCACTCGGTAATTTTTGCTAATGACATCAGTAGGGCTGTCTATAAATAAAACCCATGGATTTAGTTGTAATCACAGAACGCTATTCACCTGATTTGAAAAATTCTTCTGATGGGGTAAAATTAAAAACTAGAGTTAGTTATCTACTCTAAACAGATGATAATGCTTTCAGTGTCCTACAAGAGCATGAATGTGATGATGTTGCAGATAAATCCATTTTATCAAAATTTCTAAATGCGTGGGCGTGGCGTTACGCGAGATACATATTCATTGTATGAGATAATCATGGATCATTTACATCGTCTCATCACCGCAGTGTTAAAGTTGCTGTTAGTAATGTGATATCACCTACATTTAGGGTCAACTAAAAATTGCTGCTCCAGCATCGTTACCATTTCACAATTTAAAACACGTGCGAAAGTAATTCTCTTCAAAACAAGTAATAGGCTCATGACAATGTTCCACGCACAGTCGCTCGCCACTCGTTACCGGCCCTTTGTGTTCTCGTTAACAACCAAATATTTTTCTTTGTGCCATAACCCATCCATTGTGAGAAGATCGCATTTTCGTAACGAGATGTTCTTACGTTCTTGCCCAATGTTGAGTGCAACTTTGCAAAAACAATGCGCCATAAAAAGTGTTTGGGAAAAATCTGGGCCAACCCTGGTTAGTGCTCGAGCGTCGTTCGGGCGGAACGCTGCGACACCGCCGTCGGCTGTCGCAGTAGGCTGGTAACCCTCGACCATGCCGTGCTCGGTGGCATCACGGCTCAAGCACAGAATGCAAGTATTCCACTTATTCTTTTGAAGTTCCGTGTAAGGTGCATACAGCCGCGTTTGCCGCGAAAGTTGACGTTTCACTTATCTTGAGAGTGCGTTTGCTATTGTTTCTTTTTGTGTAAAATCTGTGACAGTGTTTTATGGTGGTTTGATATCATATCGATGTCGTTAAATGCTAGTGTTTAAGTGCTAACAGTTGATCGAGGGAATCAACATCATATTCGCTCATATATTCAGAGTCAAGGACGAATGAGTCCTTTTCTTGTTATCATTAAAATTTATAAACTTCTTTATAATTTTATTATGTTCATCTATCTTAAATCTATGCCTACTGACTTTACTAATTAACCCAATAAAATATTTTAACGGTTTGTTCCAGATGTCTTCTTCAACTAATTATCAATTAGCTTTAACTACTAACGTCCTTGAATAATTCAAAAGCCGTGATTTAATCGAAACTATAATCCTGACATCTTTTTTTATTAAAATAGTAAGACACGGGTCTTAACGCGACGTTTATTAATGAGTTACATTATTACCTACTCACGGCTTGACGTTTCGGCTGCGATGAAATGGAACGCGAAAGTTTAAAATCTTATATCTTTTTTTATTGTAATGTTTTATTGATGTTATCAGTACATGCGTTCGCTAAGTTATACGAAAACTGAAAATTAAGGCCAATTAAAAGGGTTGAAATTGCGTTATACTGAGATGCATTCCAAAATTTCTGTGTAGATTGCGAAAGACGAGTTCACACGCGCTGTAATCGTTGCAGCAGACTAACGGTCATACCTAATAATAATTACACAATAACGTTTATACAAGATGATCATTCAAGTGTGCGATTTTCTGCTCCGAAGCTCAACAATACAAAACATTGTAAGTACAGTCTCGGGCGAAAAGATCGACGTTGTAAGAGATCATTTTCCGCTGCTATCGATATTTGACTTTATAGTCCACCGATTAAGGTTTAAACCAAATTACTGTAGCAAAGTTATAGGTAATTTTCTGGTAACTAGTTAGTTTATGACACTTTTAATAAGTTTCCGTCTTAGAGCTTTCAATAAATACCTGCTCATCACACGAATAATAAAACCCCAGCGGATTTCAGCACTTTCGGCGTTTGTAGTCCAGTAGGCGAACCACATCTGTCGCTTTTATTATTCACTTGAAAAAAAAAACTTATTATTTTGTTACTTCAGTGACATGGAAATAACTAAGCTTCGCGGCGAGTACAAGTCCCTATAATAAAGCTCCACGCTAAGCTCCCGGCTGTCTATCGGATGCTTTACGTGAAGTACTCTGCTGACTGATTTATACAGCTTGACTGTACCCGCCGTAATAACAGGCTGTCGCAAATACAGCTTATGAGAGCCGTAACAAGCTGCCTTGTTCCAAGGATGCAATCAGAAGCATAACCCTGACAAACGCCGGCAAAACCCGGAAGCTTGCCTTCGAGGCATAGCTCCAATAACTCCAATAACCTATTATTTGGAACAAGCTTACACAAATTGAAGGTAGTCACCGCTAACCATCATCTCAGCTAGTTCAAAAACTCAAAGTTAGCAACTAATTTGAAATAATCGACTATCCTCGGGAATGGTAAGGTAATTCGAAAATATTGTGAATTCCATGATCAAAAAAAAATCAAAATCAAAAATATTTATTCAATTTAGACCACAGTAGCGGCGTAAGGGGGGGGCGGTGGGGGCGGTCCGCCCCGGGTGCCAAGCATCAGGGGGTGACAAAGTCGCGCAGATTAGTACTCACTGAGGAATCTGCATGGCAAGGACGGTCGTGATGTCATGACAGGGCGGGTGCCATTCTGGGGTGCCTTAGGCTATAATTTATATTATGACGCCCCGGGTGCCAGCCTATGCTACGCCGCCACTGTTAGACCACAAGCACAACCACG